GGTGAGGAGCTCGGTCACCCGGGAGGAGCTCAGAGTAGAACCGCTGCTCCTCCACATCGAGAGGAGCCAGCTGAGGTGGCTCGGGCATCTGTTTCGGATGCCTCCTCGGCGCCTTCCTAGGGAGGTGTTCCGGGCATGTCCCACCGGGAGGACCGAACTCCCTCCGGCCCCCCCCAGACTCCCTCCGGCCCTTGGCTGCGCCTAGAAATTCTGTCCCCGGGGAAGACCCAGGACACGCTGGAGGGACTATGTCTCTCGGCTGGCCTGGGAACGCCTTGGCATTCCCCCGGAGGAGCTGGAGGAAGTGTATGGAGAGAGGAAAGTCTGGGCATCTTTGCTTAAACTGCTGCCCCCGTGACCCGGTCCCGGATAAGCGGAGGAAAATGGATGGATGGAAATTTCAATGCAGTCTGAATCAGATGAAGAGGAAAGAACACAACGGAGAGTTTGGTCAATTAGCTGGTACTCACATCTCTGAAAACATTAGAGTAAACCTCCAAATAGGCCTATGCATTACTTGGATACAAACAGACCAGATATTCTAAATCTAAATAGTTACTTTGTTAGATGACAAAACATCATAGCTTAACAAAGTCATAAAAGGCCAAATCACAGGATAAAATATTCACAGATTTAAAGTTCCTGGATCAATATAAGTAAAAATGTTGTTAAAACAAAAAGCCTCTTTACTGAAGTAAGGCAGACAGACAATGAGCTATCATTTAATTTTCACCACAATGAGCCATTTTTAATGAAACAGCATAACACCACCAAAAAGAGGTAGTACAAAAATATTCATTAGCTTCGCTCTTAGGCCCACTTTTCCAAACTAGACTACCCTAAGCGTAATTATTTTTGTAGCATCTCATTTCAATGTTTCACTTTGTAGATGGCCCCTCCACCCTTGTCTTGTTCATTGCTGTGGGCATGTCTGAATGATGCCCTGAGGACCACAAGGCAAAAGTGCCCCATGTCTTAATGACAGAAAGCTGCAGTTTTAACAGACTGATGAAGCAACAGTGTTACATATCTTGTCTGAAAGGGCTTTAGCCTACTGTATAAACGTGTTAGTGTGATCTCAACAGGGAACACAGACCTAAGTGTTCAAATCCCACCCCAGGTGAATATTCACCAATTATTACTACCGAAGCTTTGAAGCCCAAAATCTGCCATTCAGGACAGCACTAATAGCACGGGCCCTTAAAAGAGTGTCTACCACTACTCTGAAATGCTATTAGAGTGAGATTAATTAGGAAAGAGTTTGAA